TGCTCTAATTCACAACCCTTTGGAACACTGAATGAATAATATTTCACAGAGCAGTCACTCATTCCTTTGCCTCTTTACGCCTGTCTTCTGGATTTTGGGGGGCTGGTTGTGGCTCTAGTGGGACTTTAGGGGTTAAATCTGCTATAGGGTCTAACCACTGTGCTTTTCCCAGCCATTCCTTAGCTTTAGCTTTTGAGACCAACATGTGGACTGAGAGGTCTGAATGACCTGGGTCACAGGTTCTGATAATGAGCTCATATTCTTGGGAAAACCCAATTGGATCTTTATCCAATTGGATAAAGGTCAGGAAATTCTCTAACTATGCCTCATAAGTCAGCCTCTGATCAGGGTTTGTATACAATCGCTAGGGATCCCCTATCTGTTACCGGTTGTTCCTGAAATGGGGCGATCATGAGAGATGTCCCTGCAGGGTTCCCCTTTTTCACATCTTCCAGATGAGACACTGCCATCGGGGCTGTCAGGGAATCGTTAGGGAGTGGGGTCTTTGGAGTCACATTACTGACTGCCTTCCATTGAGTGAGTGGTAGACAAGCAGGAGAAGGGGACACAGGTCTGATCTGGGAAGTTCGAGAAGTCAGGGTAGAGTGTGGGTGGAGCTGGAGGTGAGGGAGGTGCCAATAGGGAAGTAAAGGATTTCTTTAAGAGAGATGAAAGTTACAGAGTTCTTGATAAGCATTTCTAAGTTGATTGTTGGCCTCCTGTAGGGAGATGAGGCAGTCTTCCACACTTTTGCAGCTCTCCAGATACCACTAAAAGTAGCTCTCCCATTCTGGTTGTTTAGTTTTTGTGCCTGCATTTTCTATCCTGGTTCACAGGTACACTAATTTGGGCATCTCCAAAAAGATTCCCACTTAGGCCATTGTAACTCAGAATCTGCTTTAGATATAGTGGTCCACTTGGTTAAATATTTGCAAGACTATTTGCCGTACGTATTTTGCATATACCCATCCAGAGTTTCTGAAGGGGGAATTTTATGTTCATCTGGGGTCTTAGAGACCTCATTCCCCATAATTTAGAGTTCCATTTTTGGATATCACCAAGTCGGGACATGTGTTGGACTTCAAATGTGCTGCTTGCAGACCTAGCTTTTCAGGATCATTATACCCCGAACTGGTTTGGTCCACCCATGTCACAGCTATCTGGTATATGTGTCAGGGACTCAAGGTGTGGGAGGGATCAGCTCCTTATATGCACCTGTCAGCTAAGATTAGACCCTAAGTATGTTCTTCTGAGGGGGAAACCTATTTAGAGGCACTACACAACTTAGGGAGCATTTCTCCCAGTCACCCTCCCGTGATTCTCAGTCAGCTGAGAATGCCTCAAGAGGCCGAGGGGAGCAAGGTACTCTTATTTCTTTTTCAGAGTGAAAGATTCCACTTTCATGAGCTAGAAGGTTTGGAGTTGGTCATATCTGATAGGGGAAAGAACGGAAACACACACACACACACACACACACACACACACACACACACACACACACTACAGACTCCAAATAAGCAAACAAAACTAGAAACAAACAACAAAACAGTGAAGCAAAACTGACAATAATGACATAAATTATACAATTTCTGAGTGCTCTAAGTGTAAGTGGGAAATTAACACCAGATCGTTGTTAATGCTAATTTTAGTCATTTAAAAGAGTTTGCAGGACACAATCCCCAATCAGTTCTTTACCTAGTGATGGGAGCACAAGCTGAAGACCACTTTCTGCTGATACAGAAGCAACAGAAGTAGACAGCCTCTACCTCCTTGATGAAAATGAGGGGAAACTCCCACAAAAAAGGAGTTTTATTTATTTATTTATTTTTACAGCAAATGAACTTCAGACCTCCAGATCCCTGAAAAACTTTGGAAGATCAGGGATCCCTGGAGGAAAGCGGTCCTGGACTTCAGAAAATTGTCCTATTTGTTTGGGCTATGAGGTGCCCAAGTGGGTACCAAACATTGAGAGATGAGAGGTTGTCGGCTGGGTCACTTTCACTCAGGATTCCTCCATGGTTACCAGATGTCAATAGAGAAAAATGATGAGACAAACTTCAATCATTTTAGGAGATTTATTTGCCATAGTTAAGGACGCATACCTGGGAGATAGGCCTATGCTTTTCTGCAAAGATGACTTTGAGGATTCCAAATTTAGAGTGGAAAGGGTGGGATATTGAGAAGTACACAAATTTCAATTAAAGGGAGGGGGTAGGGAAAAATAGTCATTCATGCCTTTGTCTGCCTCAGTGAATCTACGTTTTTAACGTAAGTTGACATAAAACAAACAGGGCAGAGAAAAAAATGCAGAGAATCTACCATTACATGGGTGACTGCACCTGTAAAAATAAGCTATCAATTTGCATTGCCATGATGAAATTTTAAGAGCTCACTAGGAATTTCCTTGTGGGGAACATATGGGGGAGGTGTAGAGCTTTCCATCTTGTAGCCATCGTATTTATGAACCAAAAGGGAGAGGCAGGTTTGTGTGACCTAGTTCCCAGCTTGACTTTTCCCTTTGACCAAATGAGTTTGGGGTCCCCAAATTTAATTTCCTTTCACAATAACATAAAATTCTTCAAAACAATAGTAACTATTTAATATCATCAAGTATTGTGCTCATATTTCTCTGACACTCCTATAATTTTTTAGAGTTGGTTTAAGTCATACTATTTAATATATTACCACTTCTAATACCTGAACTTTCATATCTCTTTCCTTGTTTGTTTCTTCTTAGCAGCATTTCTCATGAATCTATTAAGTATTTCATTTCTTATTGTGTTTAGCTTCTGTCTGTCCTGCAAACAATATCTGGTATAATAAGTAGCTGTCAAAATAATTGTTGAGTAAATGAAGAGCTTGGAGATTCATAGCAAGTCCTTTATTTTGCCAGTGCATTATGAAAGTTATAAGAATAGGTGGACTGGAGTTTTGTGATGCCTGGTAAACCTTTCTTCCTCCCACACTTCTCCTTTTCTCCCTTTCACTCCCCTAACCCTGTGTGTGTGTGTGTGTGTGTCTGTGTGTGTGTGTGTGTGTGTGTGTGTGTATGTGTGTGTGTGTGTCTGTCTGTCTCTCTTTCTCATTTCCTCCCTCTCCATAGTGGACATGTCTAGGTGAGGGATGCACAAATGTATAAAAATGTAATGCTTTAAATTCAGATGAAAAATATAATACCTGTAGACTGAAGGCAGGAATAGTACAAGCAGAATTCAAGGGCCCCATTGCAGCCTGTAGATAAAATCCATTGAAGGTTTTCTCCATCTGTCTAGAGTTGCACTGACAGCCTTTCCTAAAGCAAGTCTTGGTTTGAGGATAGAGAATGCAAAGATGACTATATCTGGTGTAGTGATCCCTGTCCTCCCCACGGTTGACCTTTCAAAGGGGCAGAGTTACAAGCTATCCTTAGTTTGTGCTTTGGAGATATCAAAATAACCCCAGTTCTATTTTATTATACACATTCAGAATCATAGTCTCTGTGTTTGAATTTCAGTCTCCAGGTACAGACCCAGAGTGACTTTCAGAATTAGTACACTTATTCCTTTGTAGATTCTGGATATTAGCCCTTTGTCAGATGGTAGATTGCAATTTTTTTTCCCATTCTGTTGGTTACCAGTTCACACCAATGATTGTTTCTTTTGCTGTGCAGAAGCTGTGGAGTTTGATTAGATCCCATTTGTGTATTTTGGCTTTGGTTGCCAATGCTTTTGGTGTTTTAGTCATGAAGTCCTTGCCTACGCCTATGTCCTTAATGGTTTTGCCTAGGTTTTCTTCTAGGGTTTTTATGGTGTTAGGTCTTATGTTTAAGTCTTTAATCCCTCTGGTGTTAATTTTAGTGTAAGGTTTCAGAAAGGGGTCCAGTTTCTGCTTTCTGCACATGGCTAGCCAGTTTTCCCAACACCATTTATTAAACAGGGAATCCTTTCCCCATTGCTTGTTTTTGTCAGGTTTGTGAAAGATCAGATTTAAAAGAAAAAAACAAACCCATTCAAAAGTGGGTGAAGGATATGAACAGACACTTTTCAAAAGAAGACATTTATGAGGCCAACAAACATATGAAAAAGTCCTCATCACTGGTCATTAGAGAAATGCAAATCAAAATCAGATTGAGATACCATTTCACATCAGTTAGAATGGTGATCATTAAAAAGTCTGGAGACAACAGATGTTGGAGAGGATGTGGAGAAATAGGAACACTTCTACACTGTTTGTGGGAGTGTAAATTAGTTCAACCATTGTGGAAGACAGTGTGGCGATTCCTTAAAGACCTAGAATAGAAATTCCATTTGACCCAGCAATCCCATTACTGGGTATATATCCAAAGGATTACAAATCATTCTATTATAAAGACACGTGCACATGTATGTTTATTGTGGCACTGTTTACAATAGCAAAGACCTGGAACCAGCCCAAATGCCCATCGATGATAGACTGGACAAGGAAAATGTGGCACATATACACCATGGAATACGATGCGGACATAGCAAATGATGAGTTTGTGTCCTTTGTAGGGACATGGATGAACCTAGAAACCATAATTCTCAGCAAACTGACACAAGAAGAGAAAATCAAACACCGCATGTTCTCACTCATAGGCGAGAGTTGAACAATGAGAACATGTGGACACAGGGAGGGGAGCATCACACAATGGGGTCTGTTGAGAGGGAATAGGGGAGGGACAGTGGTGGGTAGGGAGGTGGGGAGGGATAGCATGGGGAGAAATGCCAGATATAGGTGACGGGGTGTGGAGGCAGCAAACCACATTGCCATGTATGTACCTGTGCAACAATCCTGCATGTTCTACACATGTACCCTAGAACCTAAAGTGCAGTTTTATGTATATATATATATGGACACCAGCTGGAGATTTCCAGCAGTTTCCTGGGGGAAAATGGGGCACGAAGATGGCAATATGAGATAACAGAGGCAGCTGGGATGGAAGTAGATAGAGACAGACAGCTCCACAAAAAACAGGTGGTTTCCTTGGGGATGGAGCCTTCATGAACGTGGTTTACTGAGGCCCCTGCCATTCATGGCTCTTAGTAAGGATTTTCCACGTGAACAAACTGTGATTACACGGGCAGAGAAAGGTTAAGGATCAGGTTACCCATCCCCTCCTAGCTGACTTCAGGTAGTTTGATAGGGCGAGGACAGATTATCTCTTGGAGCATGCACCTAGGGAGGAGGGGCAGAGGGAAAGAGAACAAACAGAAGAGCAAGAGAATTGGATCCCTCCTCTTACTTCTTCCTAGGCCCACAGCCAGTGAGTCTGGTGCACTAAGACGCAAAGATCCCTTAGCCGGGCGCAGGGCAAGCAGCCCAGGCTGAGATCCGCGGCTTCTGTGGAAGTGAGCATGGCTGGGCAGCGCGTGCTGCTTCTGGTGGGCTTCCTTCTCCCTGGGGTCCTGCTCTCAGAGGCCGCCAAAATCCTGACAATATCTACACTGGGTGAGTGCTTGGCCAGAGAATTCCCAGACAGGCGCGTCCCGGATACCCGCACTGCCAGGGCTCCAGCGAAAGGCAATTGATCAGAGTCATCTAGGCGGTTTTCCGGGTTGGGCTTGCGGCCCGGCTGGAGGAGGGAGAAGCCCATCCGGCTGTGGGGCGGAGAGGGGCCTCTGTTGCTGAGCGGGGGAAAATAGTTTTGGAAAAAAGAGACTCTCCTTTCCTCTCTCTTCCTGTTCAGGACGCGCTCCCCATCGGACAGGGCTGGGGCCAGAAATCTGAGAACCAGACCAGACCTTGAGTTCCTGGGCTGCTTCTCCAGAGAGCAGCGGGACTTTCAGAGGTTCACCCTAAGCTCCAGAGGGCGGGAGGTGCGCAGTAGCTTCCAATAGAAACGGTGGCGAGCGTTTCCAGCCTCTTGGAGACCAGGGAAAGGCGCTCCTGAGGGCAGCACTGCAAATTCTGTGAAGCTCATAGGGAGCCAGGGTGGCGCAGGCAGGGTATTTCAGGGCTGCAAGACCAATGGAGTGTTTTTCTTCAGAGGAGACCTGGAGAACCGCCCAGAGCTGAGGACAGGACCCAGGTCATTCGGATCTTTCGGAGCCTCCTTCCTTTTACTTGTGCGGCTGACAGTTTTTGAGAGATGCATGGGACTGTTTATTCTGCATTTTGGGCCTCAGTTTTATTTTATTTTTATTTCAAAGGAAGTAGAAGATGAAAGAGAATCACATATGAGCATAAAGGGATCATCCCAGGATCGAGCTTCCCCAAGACTTTATTTCAATCCATAGTGGGTTTTAATGGATCCTTTTCGATCACGGAGAATCAGTGATCATCGGTGAACAACGGATCATCTAATTCAGTGCCCTTTTGATTCTCTGAGAGGGCAACTGAGGGACAGGGAATGAGATGCTTTTCTTAAGAGGACATGCGTCCTCCCTAATGTCCCATGAAGAATTGACTCAGGGTTTCTGACCCCAAGACCACACTCACCACAGCTTCCACTCTGAGGCCCTTTTTCACTAAGGATTTTGAAAAATTACTAAGAAACTGTTAGTCCATTTGAATCCTTTTCCCTCCTTTCTGAGTGTTAGTAGCAGTGAAGCAACAGAGCTTCCAAACTTTTTGAAAGTATACTGTCCTCCTCCCTCAGACTCCAAAAGGGAGCTGGTGTAGCTTCTGAATCCTGGTGCTGGAATCCTGGTCTTTGCCCCAGAACGCTATCTGACTCCTTAAGACCCACCATGAATGGCTATTTCTGTGAGGACCCCCTTCTTCCTGGCCCCCTGTTCTTACACGGATTAAAATGTGAGCAAGACCCGTGGCAGATTTGTACTTTATATATCCCTAGTTGCTGTAGACGTATAAGGAAACTGAGTCATTCAGAGAACTGCACCCTACTTCTCTACTCCCCTTTCACCTCTACCTTCAAACTCTTGGCATTTTTTCATTAATTTCTCTTCTGATCTTCCTTTTTCTGCTGCTGAGACCGTTAGATTCCAGCAAAGGCTCTGTCTTGGAACAGGTACTAAGATAAGACATTAATATGACCAAGCTTCTCTTTTCTTAGCATGGTGGAATTTTCCTAGAATCAGTGATTCCTTAGTTTCTGGTGCAACGAGGATCTAGTAGGCTCACCCCAAGGGCTCCACAGTTGTCCTCAAATATCTTACTTGTAAGTTGACCATTGGCCCAAATTGAGTAATTTCCTGCTAAGTACATTTGAATCTCAATGATTTGGGCTCTAAGTAGTAGCTTCTGTCCAATGGCTGTTTCTTAGACTCACCTTGTAACATCTATATTTCTGTCTCCTACAATAGCATACATTTCCAGAATAGGACAGCAGTTAGCTCTGACTGATTGCCCATTAGGAACCCTGTATACTAATGTGCACACCTACTGTACTATATGTTCTACCATTGCAGTTATATTTTGGAGACAATGTCTCTCTAAGGCCCCAATTAACATGCAGCACGTACCTTAAGATGAGTAACTTTTACAGGCTTAATCACAGAGACACTTATTACACTGATGCAGAGACTTTGAGCCACAAGTGGAAATCTTTGATGGAGGATTCTTACAGGTCCTGCACATAGTACAGGAGGCTCTGGGTGTATGTCCTGGGCATTACCCAAAGTGAGATTGAGGAACAGGAAGCGCTTATCCCCATCTGCTCACTGTTCACCTTTCTTCTTCTGTACTTGTTCTACTGGATTTCCATTCCTCCCTCCCATATTGTCATCAGAAACTCTATTTTCATCTTTACAAAATGACATTGTGAATTGTTTCTAGGTGGAAGCCATTATCTACTGTTGGACCGGGTGTCTCTGATTCTTCTAGAGCATGGTCATAATGTGACCATGCTTCTTCCGAGTGAAAAGCGTTTAGCTGCAGGTACCTTTTTTTAAAACTAATTTTTATATTCTTTTACTCTAAGCAAAAAGTGACAAAATCTTTTTATAGGACTGCATAATAAAAACATCTTTTGAATCTAGTCTTATTTCGGGTTGAATAAATGTGTGCGTGTGTGTGTGTGTGTGTGTGCGTGTGTGTGTGTGTGCGCGTGTGTGTGTGTGTGTGCGCGTGTGTGTGCGTGTGTGTGCGCGTGTGTGTGTGTGTTCATGTTAAGTATTGGAAATCTTATGGGGGTCTGTAGACAAAGACTTCATATGCCGTACTTCCATATTTTATCACTTTCCTGGGTGTCATTCTATTCTAGGCAACTCTCCACACATTATTATTAATTATTTTGAGAAATACCACACAATAGTATGGCTTAAATTTTTTTTGAACAGAAATGTTTACCCATACTTAAGGCTTTTATTTTGTAAGTATATATGTCCTTCCTATCCCACAGGTTACTTTCTATTCTTGTGATTCTTAAAATTTATGAAAGATTTCCCAAGGAGCCTTAATTATGAACTAAGATGAGAATATATAATTAATATGACCTCACATCTTGAAAAATTAGTAGCTATGCATAAGTTGTGCATAATGATGTCAGAAGTTCTTAACTGATTCATTGCCTCCAAAGAATTATAACTAAAATGAAGCTCATCAGTTCCTGCTGACAGATAAGGACACAGAGGCCCAGAGAACTTAAGTGATTTGTTTAATGTCAAATGGAAAATCGATAACAGAGTTGGGTGAATCCGGGACTTGAGGCTCTGACTTTCTCAATCTGAGTGTTTCAGAAGCTTTGAACAAAATAAAAAATTAACCATCTCCAGAGAAAAAGTCTGAGTAATTATAAAATTCTGAAGGTAAACTTCAGGCTTTGTTATTGTTCAGATAGTTTTAAAGCACTTTTGATCACCTTCTAGATTGAGTTTCATAATCTTCACAGAATATCCTTTTTACACATTTCCCTTTTATCTGCCTTTATAGTCAGTATGATTTCCCAGCAGTAATATATGGTCATCTTATTTTGGTGGTTCTAATAACCTTTGAGTAACTGCTGAAAGCTATAGACCCACTACTTTAATGAACCATGCACACCAAAATCTACAGATTCTGTGCATTCATGGATCAGTTCAGTTTTATCTTTGGGTTCAAGTGTTGGAGTTCAAGTGTTTTACAGTTTCTTTCAGTACTCCTCAGCCTTTGGACATTTTTGAGGTTGAGATGACATATTCTTTCTTCTATTTTGCAGTAGTATTTCGGTAGAGCTCTTTTTTTTTTTTTTTGAGATGGAGTTTTGCTCTTGTTACCCAGGCTGGAGTGCAATGGCGCGATCTCGGCTCACAGCAACCTCCGCCTCCTGGGTTCGGGCAATTCTCCTGCCTCAGCCTCCTGAATAGCTGGGATTACAGGCATGTGCCACCATGCCCAGCTAAATTTTTGTAGTTTTAGTAGAGACGGGGTTTCACCATGTTGACCAGGATGGTCTCGATCTCTTGACCTCATGATCCACCCGCCTCGGCCTCCCAAAGTCCTGGGATTACAGGCGTGAGCCACCGTGCCCGGCCGGGTAGAGCTCTTAAACTAGGAAAAACACTTGATTGGGTTGTTTTTGCTAGTCTGATAGCCAGATCAGTGTATCGAAATATTTGAACATGTGTTAGCTACATGTTTCCATCACTTCCTTATTTAAAACTTTAATAAATAAATGACTCCGGAGATAAAGAAGTGTGGGTTTCTTGTGTTCACATGTAATGTTTTTCCAATTCATAACTGAAATTTCAAGTATAGGTTAGCAGCCTAAAGGAAAACTTAATTATTTGAGGTTCTGACTCTTTTCCTTTTTAAAAAAAAATTTAGTTTTATATTGCTGGATAATAGATGTACATATTTTCAGGGTACATGTGATAATGTAATACATTTTATATAATTTGTTACAATCAGTGTAATTGGGATATGCATGACCTTGAATATTTGTTTTTTCTTCTAGAAGCATTCAAATTATTCTCTTCTAGCTACTGTGAAATATACAATAGATTATTGCAAACTATAGTCACCCTACCGATCTATCAAACACTAGATCTTATTTCATCTGTAAAGCTATAGATGTGTACTCATTAATCAACCTCTAGATCTTATTTCATCTGTAAAGCTATAGATGTGTACTCATTAATCAATCTCTATCCATCTCCCTTCTCCACTATCATTTCTAGTCTCTAGTAACCACCATTCTACTCTCTATTTTTATAAGATCCACTTTTTAAAGCTGTTACATATATGTGAGAACATGGGATATTTTTCTTTCTATGCTTGGCTTATTTCACTTAATATAATGGCCTCCAATTCCATCCATGTTGCTGTAAATTATAGTATTTCATTATTTTCTATAGCTGAATAACATTTCATTGTGGATTTAAATCACATTTTCTTTACCTATTAGTCCACTGATGTGCACTTAGGTTGATTCCCTTATTTTGGCTATTGTAAACAATGCTTCAATAAACATGGGAATGCAGCTGTTTCTTCAATATATTGATTTTTTAAAATTTTGAATTATATATCCAGTAGTGGAATTGCTGCATCATATAATAGTTCTGTCTTTAGTTTTTTGAGGAAGCTTGATAGAATTTTCCACAGTGGCTGTACTAATTAAGAGTGTATGAGGGTTCCCCTTTCTCGACTTTCTGGTCAACATTCATTATGCCCTGTCTTTCTGATAAAAGCCATTTTAACTGTGATGAGATGATACCACATTATGATTTTGATTTGCATTTTTCTGATTATAAATGATGCTGAACATTTCCTTATATACCTGTTGGCTATTTGTATGTTGTATTTTGAGAAATGTCTCTTCAGATTTTTTTCCCATTTTTAACTAAATTATTGATTTGCTATTAAGTTGTTTGCACTGCTTATGTATTCTGGTTATTAATCCATTGTGAAATGGATAGTTTGCAAATATTTTCTCAATTCTTTGGGCTGTCTTTTCATTTTGTTGACTGTTTCCTTTGCTGTGCAGAAGCTTTTTGGCTCAATGTACTACCATTTGTCTATTTTTGCTTTGATTGCCTATACTTTTGATGTCTTACTAAAAAAGTCTTTGCTGAGACCAATGTCTTGAAATAGTTCCTCAATGTCTCCTTCTAGTAGTTTCACAGTTTCAAGTCTTAGAATAAGTTTTAAATCCATTTTGACCTTATTTTTTTGTATGATGAGAGAGAGTGCGTTGGTTTTATTCTTCTGTATATATTCAGTTTTCCAGTTTCTCCAGCACCGTTTATTATAAAGACTGTCCTTTCCCCATTGTATGTTCTTGGTGTTGTTGTTGAAGATGAGGTTGCTATAATGTGTGGGTTATTACCCAGGCTCTTCTGTTCTGTTGGCCTGTGTCTGTTTTCATGCCAGTACCATGCTGATTTGGTTACAGGTTTGCAATATATTTTGAAGTCATGTAGTTTGATGCCTCTGGCTTTAATATTTTTTGCTCAAGATTGCTTTGGCTACTCAGGGTCTCTTATGGTTTTATATACATTTTATAATTTTTTCCTATTTCTGTGAATAATGTCATTGATATTTTGATAATAATTGCATTGCATCTGTAAGTTTTCTTTGGGTAGCATTGTGATTTTAACAATATTGATTCTTCTAGTCCATGAATAAGGAATAGCTTTCAATTTCTTGTGTCCTCTTCAATTTATTTCATTGGAGTTTTATAGTTGTTCTTGTATCTGACTTTTACATCTTTTGTTAAATTGATTTCTAGGTATTTTATATTTTTTGCTGCTATTATACATGGAATTGCGTTATTGGTTTCTTTTTTAGATTGTCTGCTGTTGGTATATAGAATTTTTTATGTTTATTTTTTTTATCCTGCAACTTTACCGAATTTGCTTATGAATTCTAATAATTTTTTTACTGGCATTTCTAGGTTTTTTAAGTGTAAGATCATGTCTTCTGTGAACAAGGCTAATTTGACTACTTCCTTTCTAGTTTGGATATCTTTATCTATTTCTCTTGCTTAACTTCTGTGTCCAGAACTTCCAATATAATGTTGAATAAAAGTAGTGAAAGTGGGCATCGTCTTATTTCAGATCTTAGACGAAAGGCTTTCAGTTTTTTCTATTCAATAAGATGTTAGTTGTGATGTGTCATATATCGCCTTTATGATTTTGAGGTATGTTCCTTCTATGCCTAGTTTGTTGAGGGTTTTTTAAAAATTGTATAAAGGTGTTGAATTTTGCTGAATACTTTTATGCATCTGTTGAAATGATCATATGGTTTTTGTTCTTGGTTCTATTACTGTGACGTATCATGTTTGTTGAATTGCATATGTTGAACTATGCTTGCATCCCTGGGATGAATCCCACTTGATCATGGTGAATGATCTTTTTCATGTGTTGTTGAATTTGGCTTGCCGGAATTTTGTTGAGGATTTCTGCGTCTATCTTCGTCAGTTATATTGGCCTATAGTTTTTGTTTTTCTTATTGTGCCCTTATCTGATTTTGATATCAGAGTATGGCTTGTGCTATAGCATGAGTTTGAAAGTAGTCCCTCATCTTCAATTGTTTTGAAGACTTTGAGTAGAATTGCTATCAATTATTTAGATGTTTGGTAGAATTCGTCAGTGAATTCATCAGGTCCTGGGCTTTTATTTAATGGGAGACTATTATGGCTTTGATCTCGTTCCTCATCATAAGTTTCCTATTTCTTGATGGTCAGTCTTGGTAGGTTTTATGTGCCCTGGAATTTATCTTTTTCTTCTAGGTTTTCCAATTCATTGGCATACTGTTGTTTGTAATAATATAGACTTTTGATGATTCTTTATATTTCTCTGGTCTCATTTGTTATATCTCTTTTTCTGTTTCTGATTTTATTTATTTGGATCTTCTCTTTTTATTTTTCAGTCTGGTGTACTAGTCTGTTTTCACACTGCTATAAAGAGCTACCTGAGAATGGGTAATTTATGAAGAAAAGAGGTGTAATTGTCTCACAG